ATCATAATCTATGTCAAACTCAAATCCGTTCGCTTGTAAGATTTCCAAGTTTTCTATTGCAACCAATTCCTCAGCCACAGTAAGTTCTAATCTCCTTGGACTAAAAGGCAACGTAATGAGATATTAAACCATTTTAATTTTACTTATAACTATATAGTCGGGGGAAAAAAACCTTATAAGCCTCTGAGATTGGATTTTGGTGTGAAGTTGTAAAGTTTCGAAATTATATTTCTCATCAGACGCATGCTGGTCAATAATAAATAAATCATTGCCCAATTTAGCGATAATAAATCCAAGGTTGAATTGTCCTACAATTTCCATCAGGCCAAAATCGTTTTTCGATATAACCCTATTTAATTCGCTTACAGCAACTTCATTATCTTGAGTATCGATTCCCGAATTGCTTAATCGCATATCACAATCGTTACCCTTTTGAAATTCTTGCCGATTCATATCAATATATTCATATCTTCGAATATCAAATGGTATCTCGATATTTTTTCTCTCGTAATCATTATCTATTACAATAGCCTCAGAGTTATGTGACACGGGACTCGAATCAAAATTATTATTTTCAGCCATTATAATATCTTCATCAAGACCATCTTTTTCAGTCATTAAAACTGTACTAGTCGAATAGTCGACAACCATATTCATTTTCTCATCTTGTTCGATATCAACTTTATTTTCGTTGAGAGAAATTTTAATACATTGTTCTTCTTCACATGATATAGGTGTAGAAACTTTCACAGATTCTTTCTGATCGTTAATTAAATAGGCATCAATTGGTTTAATGATGTCTTTCATGACGTTACTTTTTTCCTTCGCATTTGAAGATAAATATTGAGTTAATTGTTTTCTCGGAGAACCAGCGATTTCTGATTTTTCCATTGTAATCTTTGGCTTTTTCATCACGTGTACTTCGTTTTCTTCTGATTGAAAGTCAAAAGAAGCGTAGCTCTCGTACTCGATATCGGCTTTTATTTTCATCACCTCTTCAATATTAGACGATTTGCAAGTTGATTTTATCGAGTTTTTTGTCGACTCAAATTCGTTTTTAGTGTTCTCATTACTCTGGATGTTATTAATAATACTAACCATATCATCATTGCCTTGCATAAGAGAAGTTCCACTTTTATTTTGAGCAAGTTTGTTTTGTGAAGAATTTTCCTCTTTTGAGTTCTCAAAACATAAAACATTTTCTTTTATCGACAGTTGAATAAATTCAGTACCGGAGTTCACGAAAGTAGATCGAAATGGTTCCAGAACACCATTCAATTCTTCCTAAAAAGAAAATATTTGCGTTATAAAAAACATTTTATTTAGAGTTAAATTATCTATGCTTACCTTTAATGTTTCCACTATTTTGTTTTCGTTGTGTATGAATATAGTCCTTTTATCCGGGCTTACGTTAACGTCGTATAAAACTTGAATATATTAATTATGTCAGCTATTTTCTGTAATGAAGATTTCTAAAATCATATGTTCTTGTAAATACTTTACTAACATTTCGCAAGTCGAAAATCCATAACAATAAATGGATATTGAAAGGTATTAAAACTTTTATATAATTCGTTAATGGCTTTCGCTATCTATTAAGAGATTAACTTTTAAATATGAAAAAAAAAAATGATTAAAATAAAAAAGTTAATTAAAGTAACTTTACTTTTGGTAAATTGCATGGGCGACCATTGATAAAAAAATATTGTCGATCATTGCTTCCACGACCGTATCCTTTCATAGGTTTAGAAATATGACCAATAATACGGATAGTATATCCTTCGCTTCATTATCAATATAATTTTTATATCGTTAATTTAATCATCTTTTCATAACTACACATCATATTTGTTATTAATTCACCTTTCATTATCATCATCATCATGCTTTTGCAATTTTCTCCTATCATGTTTGACATTCAGATTTATGTCCAATGGTATTATCTGGGTTAATGTCTTGGCTCCGAATATATTCGCAATATTATCACGTACATTGCCGTTCCCACTAGTGGCTAATACTTTAGTTTTTGCGCTAATAATGTAACAACAAAGCAAATGTTATTTTATAGACAACATTTATGGATTTTTTATTTTTTTATTTTTTTTTGATATTTACCTGTTATTTAATTGATTTGTACAAATAATCCTAACATTCTCGCATATGACCCCATAAGCTTGCAAGAGCACTAACGCTTTGCCAAATTCTCGCTTAATATTCTTTTTAAATTCTCGATGCCGAACTGGGACTGATTCAAAAAGTCCTCGTAGTATAATGGATGTACCTCTCTTTTTAACGAATATAATATTGAGCACCAAATAACACACCAAATAACACAGGAAAAAGTAAAGTTGACACATTTTTAAATACCTCTCGAGCTGTTGGCGATCTTTTTATGAGCCTTCCATGTGAATCATATTCCAATTTGACACCGGTCGGAATTTCTTCTTGAGTACACGTTGAAACTGTAATTTTAGATAGGGCGCATAATGAACTAAGTGCTTCGCCTCGAAAACCAAATGAACTAATGTCCATTAAATCTTCGAAGCTAGATAATTTAGATGTATGGTGCTTGAGGGCTATAAAAAACAGTTAATAGTTAGTTTATTGTAAGGATTAATAACAACATTTTTTTAAAAAAAAAGAAAAATCAAATACCTAAACTCTCATAGTCGGTAGGATGAATTCCCGTACCATCATCTATTACCTCAACGGATTGGATGCCATATTCTTTAAAACGAATTTCTACTTATACATGAATAAAACGCGTTATTATTTAAAAAAAAAAAAATAATTATTTACGCGTTTTTTTTTTTTTTATATTTCCATTATTAATACCAATTGACTTTGCCTCTGCATCAAGACTGTTTTCTACAAGCTCTTTTACGGCTGTCGCTAAATCTAATATTACTTGACCTGAGCAAATTCTATGTATCGAAGAAACATCAATTGCTTTGACTGTCGACATATTTAAAGCGCGGAATGATCAACACGAAAATCGCACATATATAATCTGTGTGGAGCTGCGGCGTAACATGACCAAATTGTGCTAATTGTGCTAACAGTACGGGTTTTTGGCGCGAGGCATGTGACCTTCTACTAACCAAACCATCATAAATGACTCATTTTATAAATCTGTAGAAAATAAATCAACATACTTGTTACCGTTACTTCGCTGATAATATACCTTTTAGTCATCTGTCTCTTTGTCTCTAATAACAAATACTTCCAATAATAATTAGTTACAATTAAAATGTCTTCTACGCGTAGGAGGATTGAAACCGATGTTATGAAGCTGTAAGTAATAAGTTGTTTACAATTCAGACAAGGAACTGTTATTTACTCTCTACCTTTATACATTTTCAAGTCTCATGAGCGACTATGAAGTTACTCTTGTCAACGATAATATGCAGGAGTTTTATGTTCGATTTCATGGACCGGAAGACAGTATGTTTCATTCTACTCGTTGACGTTTTTATTCATATATTTTTAATATTACTTATACTTACATTACCTTAGCACCTTTTGCCGGTGGTGTATGGAAAGTTCATGTCGAACTCCCTGACCAATATCCATATAAATCTCCATCGATTGGATTCATGAATAAAATTTTTCATCCCAACATCGATGAGCTGTAAGTTAATTAATTTTCGTAAATATTAAAATTCAAAGCATTTAATGATCATTTTCATACGTTTATAGAAGCGGATCAGTCTGTCTTGATGTAATTAATCAAACGTGGAGTCCGATGTTTGGTACGTCACTATTTATTTATTATTTAAAATTTTAGGTAATGAACTGGCTTTTGTTCTTTTACTTATTTACAAAATCAACTCAAATTTTATATAGACATGATCAATATTTTCGAGGTATTCCTTCCTCAGCTTTTGAGATACCCTAATCCCACCGATCCACTCAATGGGGAAGCTGCAGCTCTGCTAATGCGGGAAGCACAGACATATGAAAACAAAGTTATAGGTAGATACAGATTTCAGTTATGCATTGAAAACACATGGGAGACATTTTAATTTTTTTTCTTTCGCATAACTTTTTTACATTAGAATATGTCAAAAGGTTTGCCACAAAGGAAGCGGCGGATGCAGCGACGGACGAAAGTTCTTCAGAAGATGATGTAAGTTCTGTAGGTTCATATTCAGAAGATGAAGAGGGTACAGAGCCGCTGTAACATGGATGAATTTCATGTTGAATTTCATCTAGTATTACTATTACATGGTTAATAGTTTGTTTTATGATCATTTCGTTCGTTTTATCACCAAAGATTTTTTACTACTAATTAGTTTGCTCCATATATCAGTATAATAGAATTTTCTTTTTTTTGTTTTCTACTTTTTTTTTTTTATTATTTTTTTTGTTTTTTTTTTTTTTTCTTGCTTTTACGTTTTATGGTAATAAGCTCTTTAAAAGTAATCGTATTTCTTTTGAGTTTAGTTAAGAATAAGTTTCAAAAATTGTCATCTTTATATATTTATTTCCTATCACTACAATAAAAATGTCTGTAACATATTTTAAATCAAAAAAAAAACTGATATATTAGGTAATATCCCCGCGAAAAATTAGGGTTAGATCATGTGATTATTTCATCAAAGTGTTGTGTTAATGTAACACGATATCACCAAAAATTACTTTATTAGTAAAATTAAAATCTTATGACATTAGTCATTATAATACGCCAAATATTTATATATATATATATAAATATATATATATTAATAAGTTTAAAAGAAAAATAAAAATAAAAACTTTTTTTAACTTGTATATAGTAATATTTATTTAATGAAAAAATGGTTAACGAAACTTCTGAAGAAAATTTATTAGAATTTTCGAAAAAAGTGTTAGACGCTGCCTTTGGACTCTGTGAAAATAATAATATAGAAGTAACACCGTCCACGGCTGAAGAACCGGCTAAAGATAAAAATGTACAAGCTTCGACCATTATTCCCTTGCCTTTAACGGTAGAGTCTAAAATAAAACCTCGGTCCGAAAAAAAAAAGGTTAAAATAAATATTCCTTCATTTCAAGGTCAACCTGTTAATGACCATAAGGAACAAACTTCATCAGATTCGGCAACCTCTATCAAAGCTAAAACTTCAAATAATTCCGACGATATGAGTGATACTTCAACTAATTTAAATTTTAAAGAAGATACGACAGAGACATCATTAAGAAGTCCGGGGCTTATGGAAATGAGACTAAAGAGGAAATCAATTATGGGTTCAGAGGAAGAAGACCCTAATTTTCCATTAAATTCTGATGAACTTCACATTGAAACGGACAATCCATCCCATTTATTCTGGGTACCAGCACATTTACATCCGGAGATAGCTCCAAATGAATTTAGAAAGTGGTTAAAATATCATTCGAAAGATGAAATCAATTCTGGGTTAGCCTCGTTAAGGAGGCGTAAATCAACTCTTTCTAAGCAATATATTCCCTCAGAAGTTGAAGATGATGAGGAAACAACGGATAATAAGGAGGAATCAAAGAAAAAAAGCAATGGATTTGATTGGGAATCCTTTGGTGAATCAGATGGGATTGTTAACCATTCCTCTGAATCAACAAAATTGAATATATTACGGAGGAGTCTAAGTTTGAATCTTCCACCATTTATAGGTAAGCAAACATCGTTTTTTTTTTTAATAGATAGAGATATATATATATATATATTAACAAATATTATCGTTCGAAAAGAACGATAATAATTGATATATATTTTTGACTTATTTATCTTATTCATACATTCATTCATTCATAATATATTTGACAAGACACTAATTATTTTTCGTTTTGTCAAATATTTCCTTGACCGACTGTCCTGTCCCATTGTTTTTTTGTTAATTTGGTAAATGATGTGGCATTATAATAACAACTTAAAGGAGGCACAATTTCTAATCCTAATGATCCAAATATATTTGATCGACATTCTTCTCCTGATGTGGACTCAAAAATTCTTGTACCAAGAATGGCACCGGCACTTAAACGTACCGCACGTACAAAAATTCGTCGAAATTCTGTTGCTGGTGAACAAAATCCTAGAAGATTCTCAGCACACAGAAGAACAAGATCTACTCATATATCTTCTGATAAAGGAAAACGAGATGAAGATAAAATAATACCAAAAAAAAGATCAGAATCCGCTCTTTCAGTTCCTTTTATCCCACCACAAGTTGAGAATGAAAAAGTAGATATGAACTTTATTAATAATGTAATAGTTGATGAACCTGAAGAAATTTCAAAAAACGTTGAGCTTGATTGTATTGATGTTAAAGATGGTATGGGACCTATACGTATTGTATTAGAAGACAATGGACCTGAAGTAAACTTTACTCCACCTCAAAGAAAGAGCTCGTTTTCTTCGGATGCAGATCCATCATTCAATAAGTTAAAAGTGGAACCATCACATGATAAATCAAATTTATTACAAGTTGACACATCTATACAATCTGGAACTGCTTTAACACCACCTGCTTCACCAACATCTCCAGCATCACCGACATCAGCACAGTCTTCAACAAAACGTGCTTCTGCATGGTCATGGTTATGGTCTGGAGGGTCAGAGGAAAAATTAAAAGAGAAAGAGAAGGATGGAGAAAAAGATAAAGAGGAAAAGAAAGAAAAGGAATCAAAACCTAAAAAGAAAGAAAAAGAGAAAGATGGTGAAAAGGATAAAGAGGAAAAGAAAGAAAAGGAATCAAAGCCTAAAAAGAAAGAAAAAGAGAAAGATGGTGATAAGGATAAAGAGGAAAAGAAAGAAAAGGAATCAAAGCCTAAAAAGAAAGAAAAAGAGAAAGATGGTGATAAGGATAAAGAGGAAAAAAAAGAAAAAGAATCAAAACCTAAAAAGAAGGAAAAAGAGAAAGAAGGTGAAAAGGATGAAGAAAAGAAAGAGAAAGAATCAAAACTCAAAAAGAATAAATCAGATAAATCAGATAAGGTTGAAAAGTCTGAAAAGTCTGAAAAATCTGACAAAAATGAGAAAGAGAATAATGATTCAGCAGTTAAAGAAAAGGATAAAGAGAAATCACAGAAAATATCACTTTCATCTATTTTTTCATGGCCTTCTCAGAATAAGGGAAAATCAACGGAGGATTCATCAACCACCACAAATCCCACTACACCTTTACCACAACCAACCACTCCAAACAAGAAAACAAAATATACCAACTATAACCGTCTTCCTATTCATGTAGAGCGTGCAATATATCGTCTTTCACATATTAAACTCGCAAATCCACGACGCCCATTGCACGAACAAGTACTCATTTCCAATATGATGTTTTGGTATTTGTCGCTAATTAATAAACAACAAGTTGAATATGGAGGAAGTAGTAATCCAAATGCTGAGATGGCAGTACAGATAGTGAAAAGTAAGGTAGGTAAAGAGAAAGGCGGTCGCAAACGAAGAAAAGGAGAAAAGAAATCTGGATTAACAAGAAAAGGAGCAGGATCTAGTGCAGAGATAGCATATAAAGCTCCACAATATGACATGAATCAAATACCGCAACAATATTTGTCAAATGAATATGAAGAGATAACTGCGGAAGATTATAGTGATAATGATTATCAAAGTGAAGAAGAAATCAAAGCGCATAGTTATCAATATTATAATGATGAATATCTTTCCGATGGAACTGATGGTGGATATCTTGATGAGACTAATGGAAGGATTGAAAGTAGTCATGGTGGAGATTTATTAAATTCTAGTGCTGAATTTGATGATAAATTAGGAGAAAGCAGTAGTGGAGATAAAAATATCAAAAATTATGTTCGATCATCTCCTAATGGACGATCTAAATCACCAACTGGCAAAAGGCCATCATCCAATGGAAGGTCAACTTCTCCAACTTCAAAGAATCGTAACTCAGTTTCATCAAATGTACAAAGAAAATCAGTGCCACCGTCCAGTACTCGTAAACCCGCTAATGTATCAAGAAACCGCGCTTCGAGTTCGGGAATCAGACTATATAATAAAAACCTTTCAAAAATATCAACGGCAAACTCAATAGCAGATGATGAAGATGATGATGTACCTCTTGGACTTTACAAAATTTCGTCTAATGCAAAGTAAGGAAATATTTCAAGTCGATAATTTTAAATTAATGTTAAGGAATTAATTAAATTACATTTATTTACGTAAGTGGGAAGCTAGAAAAATGACATTATTATAATATTTATTTCAATATATTTTTGCTGTTTAAAAATTTTCATCATCATTATACAAAAAAAAGATAATAATAATAAATACTGAAGATTATTCTGGGAATAGTCTTTATTTTATATATACATTGTAATTATTATTATTATTTTTTAATTATTTTATATATATTTAAAAAAAACTTCACTATATATACAAAATTCTTTTTGTTTATAATTATTTAAAACTTGTAGTTTATTTTTATTTTTATTTTTTTTTATTATAATTCAAAGAAATAAGTTATATTTCTTTATTGGCTCGTCTAATTTATGTTAATAAAAAAAATAATGTGTAAAAAATCAGATATACCAAATAAAGAATAAATTCGGAACTTTTTTGAGTGTAAACCTTTGATTATTAAAGTTAAAAATGTCACACAGATAAAAAAAATCAAAACCGACAAAACTATAACTCGGATATTAGCTTTGTCTTGGCAGTGAAAAAATGATATCAAAATTAACGTTAAATTAGTAATTATTTTCAATTCTATTATGATCTACCAATTAATAAAATAAAACTGATCCACTTTCTGCATTTACTTGGTATATCTTTCTTTAAGAGATGTTCATTTAAGTTATAAATAGATGATGGAAGATATGATTATGCAGTGGCGCTCAAAGTATTGCATTACCGAATAATCTTGTGATTAAGAAGGCGCAGTGCAATATAAAATATTTATTAAATCATATGAAAATCGTTGTATAATGAGAATATATTTTATTGTTGATTTATACGATCCTTAAAAATAAAATAAAATTCAAGGTAAATAATTATTTAATCATAATTACATCAGTTATACGAGTTGACATAGTATCAACCAACTTTTTTCATATATCGGATCCCAATTCAACCTAATCTTTTGAATTGCGACCTCAGACGACGATCTATTTCATTCCAAATATGCCTATTGGATTGCAAATCAAGAACTTTTAACCCCATTATCTTCAAACCATTACTTTGTGAAATGTGCAAAATGTTTAGGATTCTTACTCTGATGAAAAATAATAATATTATCTTATCAATTCCATAACACCTAATTCCGTAATTCCTAATAGGTCTTTTTTTAAAATTTGACAACAAATTTAGTATATGTTATCAACTTTATCAGATGTAAAACATAATATTATTCCATTCAAATTTAACTATAAGTTTAACATAATGATCTTTAATAATACTTCTGGTCTTTTTCATTACTACAAATCAATAAATTTTAACTTATCTAACAAATCATCTTACTATGTAATTTTCAAAAATATGATTTTTAACTCTTATATTCATTTCATTTCTATATAAGATTCTTTTATTATATATTCATTAACTAGCTTTTGTTTTGAATTGCAATAGCATTAGTATATTTACCTATTATAATAAATCTTATATTAATTATTTAAAAATCATAAACATTTAAATTTAAACTATTATTAATATTATTTGATTCTTATAATAATTGATAAGAAAATTTTTCTTTGATATATAATAAAAAAAATTATTTTCTAAGTAAAACATAAATCCTAACTTTTTTTAATAATCAATAAACTATAAATTTTTACAAAATTATAAAAAACAAAAATTTTATAAACTTTTTATATATATCATTTAATTATTTTGAAATATACAAAATGATACATTATATATTAATATTTATTTCTTAAATTAATCAAAAAAAAGTATTATTATTTTATAATAATGCTTTAAATAATTCAATTCAATCTGAATTATAAGTTAATTTAAAACTAAATCAAAATTTTAATTTAATTCAATTCAGATTATAAATCCTATAAATGTTAATTTGAATTAAATTGAACTATAGATTATAAAAATCCTGATTTGAACTAAAAATTTTAGATTAATTCAAAAATTATATATTTTTATTGTTTGGATTAGAATAATATTTAATCATTTTTATCAATAATGCTTTTATTATTTAAAGAAAATAATATTTTAATTATTCTTATTAAATAATACTTTTATCATTTGATAAAAATAATATTTTGATTATTTTAATTTGTTTAATTGGAACAAATCAAACTGAAATTTATAGATTAATCTAAATTTTTGATTCAATTTAAATTTTTAGTTTAGATTAAAATTAGAATCTAAAAAAACCTAGATTAAATTAAAAATTATTAGATTAATTTTTATGGAATTTAAATTTAATTTAAATTTAGTATAAATTAAAAATTTTCATATTGATTCAAATTATTCAAAGCTTTAATCTATAATTAAATATGCTAAATAACGCTTAGAAATTTTGTAAGTCTTTTAAATATTTAAATGTAAAATTATATTAAAACTTATTAAAAAAGTTGTGAAATTCAAAAGAAAAATAAAATTATATTAAAATTTATAAAAATAGCAAAAATTTATTAAATTCTTAATAAAAAATTAGTGAAATTAAAGGTTTAAATATTTGTCTAATTTAAAATAAATATTTATAAATAATCTTTATCTATAACAAAAAAATTATTTAAAAAAAATATTAATAAAGTTTAAAATATAATAATTTATTATTTAAGTTTATAATATTATATTTTTAATTATAAAATTCTTATTTTAATTTTATATTTGATCAATATTATATTTTATTTATTATTATATTTTTACTATCAAAATTTTTTTAAAAAATTTTTAATTGAAATTATTATTTTATTAATTATTTAATAAAGGAATTATAATTCCATTAACTAGAATTAAAATTCATATAAAAGAATTTTTGTGATATTATTAAAAATAAATCTTATAAAGATATAAATTTTTAAGTTTTAATTTATTTAATGATATTTTTATACTTATAAAATTATACAAAATAATAAAAATAAAAATATTTATTTTTTATATTATCTAAAGTATATAAAATATTTAATAGATAAATTTTTATTATCCTATATATTTTCTTTCATTCATCATTACATATTTCTTTATTTAGTTTATAATATTTATTATTACATTTTTTTTTTTAACAATTTTTACATAATTTTATTAATTATATAAACTTTAATTTTCATATTAATTATAAATTATATTTCTTAATTCATTGATTATTTAATAAATTTGTATTATCTTCTATGTTATATTTTTATTTTTTTTTTTATTAATAATAGACTTTCATAATTATAAAATTGTTTATCTACCTATTTTAAATTTGACAATTCTGCATGTGATACAAGTCAATTTCGTGAGAAATTGCGATGACTGCAAATCCTAAATCAGGCCAAAAATTTGAAAATTATCATCATTTTCATAACCCCATTCTGTCAAACACAGAAAATCATCGTCCCCTGCACAGGTCATGTAATGTGAAATGTGTAACGTATAGCCTCAAGAATATACAAATTAGTTAGAAAAATTAGTAATTTTGCTTTATCATTTGAGAAAATTTTAGAAATTCTATCTTTTATTATAAATTATGCAAATATCAATAGTTTACTTTCACCTAGTATTTATTTTTTTTATATTTTTTAAAAAATTTTATAATAAACTAATAATTATTTAATAAAGAATAACATTTTCGTAAAGATACTTTATTAATAATTTTCTTTTTACAAATAAAAGTTATTCTTCATTATATTAGTTTTATACATCTACTATAGAAGAACAAAATCAACCAACTATACATTTAGCTACTTTTTAGCATATATTGTATAAGTATATTTTAGAAATCAAATTTCTTTTACTATGAAATGATTTATATTTAAAATGTAAAAATATGCGATTTAATTTAAAATATTGGTCAAAAAAGAAACTAAATTATATATAGCTGAATGAAATTATCATTATTAATAAGCAGGAAAAGAAAGAGAATATTATTGGTATTTTAATCATAATAATATTAAAATAAAATTTTACTAAAATCTTTATTATACAAAAAAAATTGTTTTTATAATTATTTCATAATATATTATATCAGTAAATTTAATAATGCGAAGTATTACGTAAACCCTACGCTTCGTAATCTTACGTAAGGTTACGAGCCCGTCGA